AAAGGGGACAAAACATTCAATAAACGTCTGTTAAGTCTGACCAGAGAATTGCTTCTACCTTCTTATAGTATCAGTATCTCATATGTCCTTGGGGGAATTGCTTATTTCCCGCTCTGTCTTCAAAGCTTGAATGGAGCTGTCTGTTCAGTGGATGAGGTCACTCCAGCCCCACAGCCCCCAGTCAGAGCAATTGGATCATGGAATAGCAGCATGTGACACATATTAGCCAATGAGATTCAGCGCCAGGACTCTTCCTGGAACTATGAGGAAAGAAATTTCTTTCTACTTTATTTACTATTTAAAAAGGAAATTATCTTTTTTTTTTTGATAGTGAGAATTTTAAGATCTACTCTTAGCAACTTTTAAATGTAAAATATAGCATTGTTAACTGTAGTCACATGTTATCCATTAGATTCTTAGAACGTATTCATCTTATAACTGGAAGATTGTATCCTTTGATCAATGACTCTCCCCATTCCTCCCCCACCACCCCCGCCTGCTCCTGGCAGTCACTATTCTACTCTTGGTTTCCATGAATTCAGTTTTTTTAAAGACTCCACATATAAGTGAGATCAAATAGTATTTGTCTTTCTTGACATTTTACTTTGCATAATGATCTCAAGGTTCATCCATGTTATCACAAATGGCAGGATTTTCTTCTTTTTATGGCCAATATTCCTTTGTGCATGTATGTGTACATATGTATTTATGTGTGTGTATATAGATATATATCATATTTTATTTAACAATTCATCTGTCAAAAGACACTTAGGTTGTTTCTATGTCTTGACTCTTGTGAAGAACACTGTAATGAATATGAGGGAGGTGCAGAGAGAGACAATGGATCTAAATAGTTCTTACCATAGACACACAAACACACACATACAAAAGGTATGTGAAGTGATGGATGTGTTAACTAACCTTATTGTGGTAATCATTTGGCAATATAGATGCATATCAAATCATGTTATATACCTTAAAATTATACAATGTTATAGGTATACAACATGTATACAACAATGTTATACAATTATACCTCAATAATTGACCATTAAAATAAGATGCCATCCTTTATAAGACTCTATGTTGATTCTATTACAATGTTTTAGAGAAAAAAAATACATCTATATAAAATGTACTTAGTGATTTTTATGGCACAATTAGATCTAAAAACCTAAAACATATGAAAAAAAATGGGCCTAAGAAACAAGAGAAAAAATTTAGCCTCATTCTCCAATTTCCAGTTTGTAGACCATGCTGATGTTATCTTATGTCTGAAACTTTAAATGAAATTGAGAGACTTTCACAATCTGCTCTACTGAAATCATAAATGGAGTTTTATGTTACTTGAACATAGATTATTAGGATAACAGAGTTTGTCTAATTATTTTAAATCCTCACCCAAGGATATATTAATTGATTTTAGAGAAAGAGGAAGGGAGGGAGGGAGAGAGATACAGATAGAGAGAGAGAGAAATTGATGTGAGAGAGAAATATCGATCAGTTGCCTCCCATGTGCACTCTGACCAAAGACTGAACCCACAACCTAGGTATGCGGCCTGACCTGGGATCGAACCTGCAATATTTGGTGTATGGGACAGTGTTCCAACCAACTGAGCCACCCCCAAAGGGCTAGTGTTGCCTAATTTAAGATCAAATGTCAACTGGATAAAATAATGTATGAAAGTTATGTTGCCTTGAAAGAAGAAGGAAACAATTTTTTATCACTGAAGTGATTGAGAACAATAGCTAATGCTAGATTTTTGTCAACCAATTCTAAGAAATAGACATTTCAAATCAGTGTTTTAAATAGTTATGACAATTTGTTGTTGCCCTGTAATTTGTAAAAATGAATAATCACTAAAAGGCATATGTTAGTTAAAAATCTACCAACAAGAAGGATGCGCAATATAAGTTTAGTAGTTAAAAAAAAAAAAAAAATCTGGTCTTTATCCCATGGAGAAGGCCTGCCTTAAACTGAACCTAATCAGAGAAGGGTACAACCAAACTACAGAGATATAGATTTTAAAGGTGAAGAGAAAAGAATAGAAGACTATAGAAACAGAAAATCATGAAGATAAAGTGAAAAAAATGAGAAAGACTCAGACCTATTGTAAGAGTGAAAAATTATAATAGTGAGGAATTGTAACCCACCATTTTTTGACATTGTTTCTATAATGCTGACTCTGACTAATACATAGCGTGTAGACGGGTTATATAAGAATCCTAGGAACTGACTTCAAAAGATACAGATCCCAACCTTCAAACATCACAGTTCTGGGAGATTTTCTGACCTTCAGCCATGGAGCCAGGATGACGTGAAGCCAGGGTGATGCACACAGGACCATCACTTGCCTTATCGGAATGGACTGTGCTCATCTGCACATACAGAATTTTCCACCCTCCTCTCTTGGTCTCTTTGTTCTATTCTCTTCCCCCTCCTTATAGAAATTTCTGTCTCCCCTGAGAAGAGCAGATGGGCTTTGAGGAATAAGTCTCTCATCTTCCCAGGAAGTGGGCTTTGAAACATGAGTCCCCCATCTTCCAGGTGAGTGACACCTAAAAATAAACCCTTTCCGTTACAACAGCACCTACTTCTTGAGTATTGGCTTTCATAGCAGCAGGCAGCTGGACCTTCTTTAGATTACACTATAACCTCATTGATACTTTTGGATCAGCCCCATATTCACCTCTGTTTTCTAGCTCTGCATGCTAATAAATTCTCCCTTTTGCCTTAAGTCATCTTGAATTGTGTTTCTGTCACCTATAATCAAAATTGCCCCAAATGATATAAGGCCCACTTGGCCTGGTATAGATTCTACAGCTTTGAAAATAAAGGAATGTAATCACCACACTAGTGATTGCAGAGGGTGGGGGCAGTATAAGAGGGTTAAATGGTAATGGAAAAATACAATACAAAGGTTTAAAAAAAAAGAAAGGAAGATAACACTCAATGCAGCCAAGTTGCTCCAGCATGGAGAGCCATGCCACTGTGGCCAAGGAGCCTAAGTCCAACCTCAAGTCATTTTCTGAACAGAAGAGAATGGTACAGGTTGAACATCAAAGGGCTGGTTCTAAGAACACATAAGTCACACTGAGAAGTCTCATGTGCAATTACACGGTCTAATTATGTATGTGTGGACCATAAAACCACTGACTGTGGGTCTTAGTATTAATGAGAAATTTTGTGTATCCATAAGCTGGCAAGGCTAGAAGAATGTTTTGGTTACATGTCAAATAAGGAAATGGCATAGTCCCCACCCATCCCCCAGGTTCTATTGAGATGGAGATTTCTATTGTTCGATAACAAAATTAAAATTAGCTACTTCTTGCTTTTGACTCAGTACATTCCCTTCTCTCCTGCCTTAGAACAAGAGTCAGAATAAAGGGAAAAGCCCAAGGGCATAGTGTGTGAACATGAGCATGCACAAAAGGTGCATTTGTACATTGCAGACACTGCTGAAATAGGTGTTTCAAATGGACCCAAATTTTAGCTGAAAGCACCAGCTTCGGAACATCAAACATTCCTCATGTATTCCTTCTTTGCATGTGAATGACTAGAATTAGTGCTTAAGAAACACAACCTAACTTCTCAAATGTCCTTGGCTCTAAATAAAGGGAATACCATGGTACACCAGTACTTGTCATTAATTTGTTCCAGAATTCATGATGAGTGCCGAAACTGACAAGTACGGAGCAATGAAGCATTTTCTCTTGCAGGGTATCATCATGACTCATACAAGTTCTAGCAAGTGCAACAAGTCCCCAGGAAGGGCCAAGTGCTGGATCACTTTTTTCTTGTCAAAATGCAACAAGTAAAGGATTTAATGAGTTCTGAAGCTGACAAGTACGGAGTCATGACTGCTGTGCTGCAACTTTTCAAGGCCGGACAGGTTCACGGGATTCGTGCAGATGGAAGAATATTCACAGAGCTGTTGGGATGTCTGGCATGCCTTTATTTAAGGGTGGACGATCCATGCACGCTGCAAGCTGCGTGTCACACTGCATGTCACCTGTCCCCTCTGCATGGCACCCAGCGTGGCCCTTGCCTTTCCCCTGCATGGCACCCAGCAGGGAGTCCTTAACCCTTTAAATACTAGAAACAAACAAAGCCAGCAGGGTGCCAACAGATCTTCTACAACAGAGCTTCATACCACTCATGAGAGCTCCCTCAAGGCTATGGGAACAGTTTATTGAACTCAGACTCAGGGGTATGAGACCCAGTCTCAAGGCTATTGAGAACATTACTTTATCTGACCCATTCAAGGTTGTGAGAAACTGCTTCCCTTACCTACCCAGACACCTGGCTGAGGAAGCCAGGCTGCCTCCTTTTACCTTACACTGTATTTCTTTTTAGCACTGCCATGTAATGGGACATCATACTAATGTAAACTGAAGAGCCAATGAAAGAGAAGTCAAGATGTCACCAGAAACGAACTGTTGAAGATGAAGCTGTGTACTTTTAACAGCAAATAAAAGAAAACAAGATTACAGAGCCCTACAAAGTTAAGCACATAAAGTTTTAAGATTTCACCTTAAGGCTGAGGGCATCTGAAAGTAAACAACATACATAAATGCCCCTTATGAAAATGTGAACTATAACACCCAATTCAGCATGTGGAAATCTGAAAACAGATATGTAAAACATTTGTTTCCTGATGTGTTTATAGAAATCATGTCTAATTTCCTCAGTATACCATTACATGTATAAAATATTATTACATCATTTTTTGAGTTATAGTCACTTCACTAGCTATGAGACTACTTGGAAGGTCAATCAAGGTGAGAGTCTGTGTTCATAGAAATGTCCCCAATGGCTTCCATAATAACTGAATGCTGTCAGGCTTGAGCTGATAATCTAAATTTTACAAACATTGTCTTAAGCAGGTTTAATCGGCTACTTAGCTACCAGAATATGTGTGTGTGTATGTGTGTTTGTGTGTGTGTGTATGTGTGTGTACACTGGAAGTGAATGAAGCACACACAAACAAGCCACTCACCTTTTCTCCCCTGGGGATCGCGGCAGTTTTCATGGATGCATGGACCCCAGGCTGACCAGGAAGACACTATACAGTCTGTAGAGCAGGGAATATTGCAGAGCTGAGAGGCTTCAGGGGCAGGTTCCAAACATAATGTCTTTTCCACAGGTCTAAAGACTGAAGGACAAAAAAGAAAAAAAATAATGGACCACATTGCATTCTCCGGTTATCCTAGGACTGTCCCTATCTTTGCATGCTTGCCTTGGCCATAACAGCTTGGTGGCTAACAGGGTACATGCAAACAAAATATGGAGCACTCTCTAATACTCGCTGCTGAATTGCACATTATTAGCAATGGGATGAGAAAAGGCAAAAAAAGCAGTAAAAAAAGAATATGCATTTAAGTTTCTTGCTTCACAGAGTATTCCCTGGAAATCAAAAGAGGACTAAAAATATAGATACAAATTATCTAGAGTTATGATTAAAAAAATTAAATGGCTTTAGGTGAAGTTTCAAGATGAGTCCATCTCGACTGTATAAATGACTGGATCGCTTGAAAAAATCAAAATTAAACCCCTGAGGTGGGGTGTTTAGCATAACCAATCTACTGCTGTTACTCCCCTGAGCAGTGGAGCTTGCAAAGACACAGAAGAAAAATGATTCTTAAAATAAGAAGAATAATCAAGATCTATGATTGCGAAATTAGCCCCTAAAAGTCAATTTCATTAGTAAGGCTACCCAGACACAAGGAGTGTCTAAGGAGCCACAGAAACTGCTAAACTAGGAGACTTGAACTCTCCCTGGTGTGCCCCTGCCCCCAGGGCACCCCTAGAACTGGGTCACTTCAGGATGCAGAAACCACCTGTGTATCAGTGGCATTCACCAAAAGCTCTCTGCACGCAGACCCATCTGGGCACCGAAAACACACAGGTAAAGGACAAGATGAGAGCCTGATTCCTGTGAAGTTTAAAACATAATAGTAACTAAGAGAGCGAAACCTAGAGATGACACAACAAAAAACACCAAATGCATACCTACACTTGTACAGAGCAGTCCCCCATAAAGAAGGTTTGGGAGCAATTCAGAGTTTGTGAGTAAATGGTTTAAGTTCAGAAGGTTTTATCTTATGGACTGGCTTGTGTTAATGTCTAAATATGTCCTATGTTATTTCCGTCCAGTTAAGTCGATTAGAATTGCTTCAAAGGCAGAGACTGGTGTGAGGATTGGGTGGCGAATCATGTTGTCCGCCCTGCTCCCTCACACTTTATATGAGATGTGAATTAAATCATGTAAAATTGGCACTGAATCACTGCTCTGACCAACAGAACTTTAAAAATAATCCAAAACAATAGCAAAATAAAATTTTTAAATACTATCATGAAGAAGGTACAACCATGAGGGAAATTAAAAAAAAAAAAGGGGGGGGCGGCGGTTTCTAATGAACAATGGAGCAGCCTGCGGTAATTGTGAGGGTGAATGAGAAAAATAAAAGGTTGCAGAGAAAAATCTTTTGTGTTTGAAATTGATTCTTTTACAGTTTAACAAAGGGATTCGACCTGACTTAAATAGAAGACAGGGGCAAAGGACGATTGCAAATGTAAATGTCAAAGGTCACAAGTCAGTGGAGGAGACAGGGGAAGGCATAGAGAACAGGTATTGGGGGAATTCAAAAGGGAGGCTGAAGAGAGCTGATAATCAAACACGGATAGTGCCAGCGGTGATAACAGTGGGATGGGGAGGCTGGAGTGACCAGGACTGGAGATGATCATGTGACACTGACGGATCGTGAGTAACAAAGGACCTGCAAGATGGAGGGAGGGGCTTGGGGTTTCTTTTCCAGGAGTGAGCAAGAGAAGTCACACAAGACAGCCGTTCATGGAGTAAATTATGCATTCACTCTAAAACCACTGAGCAGCCACTCTCAATCAAGCTCTTTTGAACGGTGTCTGCTTTCAAGGAGCTCTAAGTCAAGCAGAATAAGTCAAGTAGCTTATTAACAAAATTGATGCAAAGAGACGCTTCAGAGCATGCTGCATAGCCACAGGTCTTAAGGCAAAAGTATGTTTGTGTCCAGGCCCGTTCTAATTATATTGTGTTCTCACAAACTCAAACTTTAGTTTTAAAAACAAAACCTCGATAATGGTGGAAAAGGAACTGGGGCACGTAAGCTGTTTAATCTCCTTATTTAATAAATATTTGTAGTGCTTGCCAGGTGCCAGTTATAAATATCAGTTTATTTAACCTGCATAATTTCCCCTTGAAATATATATTACTATTATTCCTAGTTTAAAAATGAGGAAACTGTGACAGAAATATTTACTCTCTTTCCCACATATCCAGTTAGTGAGCAGTGGAGCTGGGATTTGGATCCAGGGGTCTGTCTCTTAACCACGGCACTAAGAGGTCTCTTCATTCATCAATCAATCTACATTGATAAGTGCCTCCCATCTGTTAATATAGTGTTAGGTGCTGAAGTAAGAACAGTGAGTGAAACAAACAAGATCCCTGCCCTCGTGGAGCCCATACTCCAGTGTGAGTTGACACTAATTATACATGAATCCACATGCTCCAGCAAGACTGGAAAGCTGTTACGGCTGCTTCTCTGCCCTTTTCCATGGCTCTCTCCCTGCAACACCAGTTAGATAGAGCTCAAGTGTCTGATAATCAATGCTGGGAAGATACCCCAAACCTCTCAACAGCAAGGCCCAGAAGACACTTGCTGTTATAACCTCTGTACTTGTGTTGAAACTAGTCAATCCACCAGTGCAATGGCCACTCACACAGTAGATCTGCATTAAATCTCACTGGAAGCTCTAGATTGTGCCCGTAAGGCTCCAGGTTGACAGTGCAATTGACAAGAGACTGGGAAACTTGTCCTAAAGCTGTGTTTGTTTGTACAGATATGCTTATGTGGCTTATTTTTGGAAGGCTGTTGAGGATTATTGGGAATTGTGGGGTTAATAATTTGATAAATACTTAACTGTCAATTAGTTGACTATTGGACATTAGGACTAATGTAACTACTAAGATTTGAAAGTAAGAGAGAGAGACGTGGTGCGCTGGAGAATGGGGAGAGACTTCCCTGGGGACTACTAAGTGACATAATAGAAGCCCAGGGGTGGGACTGAGGCCATTTGTCAGAGTACTTTTGCCTCTCCAGCACCTGCTGTTTTGACAGACAGTAGATCTTTATCCATATCAATAAATTCTTTCAGTCCGAGATGACATGTCTAAGATGCTTCATTTAGGCATTGAATCAATACACTTGGGTCAACCTATCTCTATCTCAGACCCCCTGGGCTACATTCGTTCTACAAATAAATCATGAGTAAATCACAAAGCACTTACCAGCTTCAGACCACTTAGCTGGTCATCTCCCCAAGAACAGTAAACACAGGATATTTCTATGACTATTGACTGTCAGAGCTAGAAGGGAGCTTTCGAGCTAATTAATTTAGTTTAATTCAGCAATTTTACTGAAAAAATGGGCACCAAAGACATTAGGTACTTTTTCCAAATTCACTCAGTAAATCCAGAGCAAGCCCAAAGTTTTGTCCCAGGTGGTTGATTCACGTCCACCTGGCCATCTTAATTTTCCTTTCATGGAATGAAGGCATCAGACCAGATATATGAGGTCATTTATACTAAGGAGATTTTGCTTCTGAATCTCAGTGACCACAACTGGCGTCAGCCAGAGCCAAAACAGACCAAAGATATCCACCTAGGAAAGCTGCAGGCTTCATTTAACCCTTTAAATAAAATCTGAATCCTTCTCTTCCTTCACTGATATTCCAAAACTCCTCCAAACCTCTCCCTGGACCTCCCCCACTAAGCAGGTGATAGTGAAACCGAAATTTGCTCCACTTCAGATGAATATTTACTAGTTTTATTCATAGCTATTCATGCTGTAATAAAATTATTTGGGGGTGGCTAGGTGAAGACCATGACCTGGGCCACCTGGAATTGGTTGGTCTGTATATTTTACTTTTTACAAAGCCTCGTTTCTTCTTGGCCAAACTCCAGCCATGATGTCCATAGGAAAAAAAAAATGTTGCTTGTCTACTTACCTGCACTCCTTTCTCTGAAATCTATGGACTGAAATGACTTTAATTCTGTTTACTTACTCTGTCTTCTCTAATGCAATGAAGTCATGCTCTAATCAGTGTACTTATTCAATGCAGGGCTGTGCTCGTCCCTTGTTCCACTTTTTCCAGCTGCCTTTTAGATGTCGCCTTGAGGCCTTCTGCCATTCCTGTGTTAACCAACTGCCTGACTAAATAAGCAATTACCCAGGGTCTTATAGGCTTTAACCTTTGTATGCAGCAATGTTAGGCCCCTCTGGAGAACTCCCACAGACATAAAGTATTCAAGAGCCAAAATAACACATTGACATCACTACACAGTAGCTTTCTAAATCCTAGAGAATATATTACAGCATTATAAGTAATTGTACATAAGCAATAATCATTAATATTTTGGTATTTTGGTACTTAACCTGGAACTTTTTATCTGCAATAAGAAATTATTACATTGACCTGCCTTACAAGAAATGTGAAAGTCTGTTACTAACAATTGCAAAGTTGCCCTAAATAATGAATTACTCCATGAACAGCACGGTGATTAATAAGAGGGAAAATATGCTGGGTAGATGATATGTTGAATGTTTAAAAAATTATTCTTAATTCTAGAATCGTACAAAGTTCATGATTTGCCTTAATCACTAGGTAATTTCAGATGAGCATACTAATTCAATCAAAATGAATTGTAATTAAGAAGAAAAATGCCTGTTGTGATCATTACCATGTGACTGCCATTGTAAAGAAAAATGAGTTCCTTCACATTTTATTTTTGAAACTAAATCAAGTTCTAATTCAAACTAATGTGAATTAATACAGAAATAAGTTGGCAAAGATTCAGTACAAATATATTACTCCCTGCCCCTACTGATGGCCAGTTTGTAAAATCTAAACTTCAATGCCCTTTAACCCCCCAAAAAGAAATTAAACTGAAACTATAAAATAATATTTAATTAATTATAATTAATAACCTGGCATCTCTCTCTAGTTTACTTAAAAATGCTTAAGTTATATTTGCTTAAAGTAAAAAGGGTTTCATAGGAGTCAATGGCATTTCCTTATTTTTTTAATATATCTGTTATTGAATGAAAAATGTTTGGT